TACTGGAGAGGGAAGTCTATCGCCGACAACGCTATCTATTGACTTCAATCTTAAAGAGTTTGTAACCGCGAGTTTCGTTACAATTCGCAGGGAACTCACTGGGTAAACGCACGTTACAACAGCTAGAAAAACTATCAACATGTAGCACGAGACCGCGAGTCAACTCGAGGCACCTCAATCGGTGTCCCTAGACAGACTGCTTTGACAATAGTCAAATTCCAGAATTAATCATTCTGATTGGTCAAATTCCTTAGAGCTGATAACTGTTATCCTTTCCCTCGAGTTGTGTGTTAAAACTAAATCGAGAACGTATTTTAAAGAACCGGTACGTGAGAGGTCGGAGATCTTGCATTGCTGCTTCCCCAGGGTATCGGGCGACAGCTGGGCACAACAACCATAACTCGGATCAGAGGATTCCTTCTCTGCCCTTAACCGTATCAAACCGTATCTTCGCCAAGTCTATAGACCTCTGTCATTCTCCAGTGGGACGCTGGTATCTCTGCCGGTCCGTGGAAACGTCTCCGTCGGGTATTTTTTTCCGCCGGGCAGCTCGATACGTCGAGAATATTTCTCCGCGGCAGATTTGAGCACCTTGACCTCAACTCAACAATAACAAATATTTCCCAGAGCATTGCCGTAACTGTACGAATCAATCCGAGAGCGTAGCTTCTGAGCAGGGTGGCAACTCGAAGGGAACCAAAATGCGAGAACGTTATCTGAATCAATAGCTGAAGTCACCTTGTAATCGTAAGTCGAAAAATCACGTCACAATATATTGTAACGTTCCGCTCTTATACCCCTCTATCCTCTATCCTTTTGCTTCCTAACCACTAAAGGTGCGTTCCACTTATCGCCCGCAACGCTCCCAACATCGTTGTGTCTTTAAATATTAAATGTATTGGATAGAGAAACAACGATGTTGCAAGCGTTGCGGGCGATAAGTGGAACGCACTCTAATTCTGAATGATGAATACGTCAATAGCCCCGCATAAGAGTGCATAGAACACTGTGGATGTGCATAATAATTGTATCTGAGAGAACCCCTCAAATCCTAAAATTCCTCAAAACTCCTATCACAGCGCCGCCGATAAAGGAAAGAAAAAATAGGACCTTTAAAACCCTAATATTACATAATTTCTTTGAAATTAGTCACAGCGACAATCATAAGGAAATAATATTGGAGATTATTACCTTTAATATTCCACGATTCCAAAAACCAATCGAGCGACTGGAATCAAAACAAACAAATGCCCAAACGTTATTAGCCGGCACGCGCCAAATACAACAGATAACTAGGAAGCCGGTATTTGAAGAAACCTAATAATCTAATCTAATCCTATTAGTTAAATTAAAATGTCAAATCAAATATGAAAATATTAAATTAAGTATCGACGTTAACACTTCGGCATACTAAAAATCATTATCCCTACTAAAAATATTTATTATTATTTCCGAGGATATAAGCAGCGGCTTCCTCGACAGGGGTTCATTCGATGCTAAGTTTCGTTGTTAGTTAAAACTACTAGCGTACACTAAAAGACGTCGAGGAGCAGTACAAACTTAAAAATTACTATCTCCAAAAATCAATTAGGGAATTTATCCTGCATTCCCGAACAAACCAATAAACAATATCGTACTGCAAACTGTGACAGCTCATCATTGCTAACTTCTGGTCTCAGGGAGTATTGTTTCTCATCTATGTATCAGGAAACCTGCCATCCTTGTAGGTCTTCTGCAGCAAAGTTATTGTGTCAGCGCTGTCGTAAACTGACCAAGCATCAAAGACATATCCTTAAAAAGCTCAGCTCCCAACGTCATCGTGATTAGTAGCTATCTGAGTTAAAAACCTCCTAAAGATAATAATTTCGGCTAACAAGAATCATTATAATCATCTGTGGGTTCTGAACCATTATCATCCTTATCATGAACTGAGCTGCAGTCACCGGACGCATTGTGAAATCTGCTGTATTGTAGCTCCAGCTATCTCTTTCCCTCTCCTAGAAAGTAGAATAGGGAAAAGATAAAGAGATACAACAAGAAGAAACTCTGTACACAATTATAAGAGTGTTTAAGAGAGTGAAATAGTATTTACTATTTCTTTTTTTTTATATCTTTAGGTTCACTTCCAACGATTGTCGTAAATTGTATGTACCTTACCCTTCGCTGCAATCTTTAACAGGTAATTGCTGGCCAAATTAGATGTATTATGTCCTGGAGTATATAAATTCTGAAGTTGTTTCTCATTTTGACTAAGAATTGTAATACAACCACTATCAAAACACAATTCATTTTTTAAGTCATTATCTTCACATGGGAAAACATAATTTGTCATTGCAACAACAATATTACGATGACCGATACTACAAGTTTCGCCGAATTTCTTCAAAAAATATAATTCAATTTGAACATTTTATTCGAATAACTTGGATGAAACATATCAGAATAGAATACCATGGCGTGAATAACACTATGGCTGACTGAGAATACATTTTTGACCATTTTATTTCTACAGATTTGATCTTAAAATGTCTTATCTAAAATGCCTCCTAGTAATGTAAATTTACACTACTCATTATTAAACGTAGATGTATGTAACATTTAGTTAATCAAGCGGTAAATTTAAAATATGATTTAAGCAGAAAGCTAAAATTTACTGTTGTCGCAAGCAATTGTACGAATATGTACAAATGTAACTTACATGCATGGCAATGACTAGTTACATTTTTCATTCCTTTTTTTTTTTTTATAAACAGTTCAACAGTGTTGACTTCATATATTAATATATATAATTCATCAATTCATTGAACTGTGAATTGTCTTTTTCCGAATAGAGTATATCTTTGCAGCGGTGTAAGTTTCATTGCTTCATTTACAATCGTAACAAGTAACTTGGCATCTGTAATTTTTACAATCATCTAATGTATATGTAACTATTGAATGTGTATAATTAAATATAATTAATGTACTATATTTTTACAGTTTCTTATACAGTCGCATGGTTGAAATTACCTGTAATTTGAAGCTTTGTATACGTGATTTCTTGTCGAAACTGCATCAATATGCTTTCTTGCGTCCACGTGTTATTGCGACAATAATATTTTTCTCCCTCTGCGAGATTACTGTTTCATCTTTCACGCGTTTCCAAAGATCTTTTATATCGAAAAGAGTTTGCACTTGAATTTTGCAGTTGTCATAATTCTCTTTCGTAAGGATAACCAATTTTATTTTATTTGGATTCGTGATGGCTTTCGCAGAACTGTTGAAGCTCTTCAATCTGAGACATTTCTGTTAGCACTTCTCGTAATCTGGGCCCATACTCTGTTAGAATTGACTATTTCTTAACGCCAAAGATAACAAAAAAGTGCAACTATTTATACCAATGAACATATGCAATCAATTGATAATTTTAATGATTGCAATAAATCGACACGTCAATCACACAATTAGATGAATTAGAGGAATTATGGGATGATCGTAAAAGAATATGCAGGATCAGTTATTCTAGACTCCGAACCTGGGAGTAGCCTTTGTATATATTAGGCGCGCTACTCTCTAATCAGATTACCCCGGCCCTCCGGTTAAGGTGAGATTGACACGACAACTTGAATGACTCTGTAAGCGAGTCATTGATTGTTGACAGAGAACCGAGTGAACTATGCGAACAGAAAATTGTCATGCGGATCAGTACCCTGACATGATTATAATATGATATCAAGAACACCTTGCCTGTAGGTGCGGGTAATCTGATTAGAGTATTCTCTAATCAGATATCTATTATATTCTATTTTATATTCTATTATATTGTATATTCTCTAATCAGCGCACCTAATACATACGAGGCTCCACTCAGATTCGGAGTCTAGGATAGTTCACCCTGTATAAACGATTTTTAGGAAGCTGGATCTTGGAAACCACGAATTCTTTTCTTTTAGATGGATGACCACCCATCTATGACGCCAAGATTCAAATCTTTAACAATTAATTTAAGAAAAAGGCTAAACCACGCAAAAATAGCATGCAACATGCTAAATATATGTCCACATATGCACTTAAACATCTCCCCATCCACCTTTTATATAATTAATATTAGTTCCCAAGTCGAGAAATTTTGCATCGTATTGAACCTATTTATTCTGCATAAGAATATTAAGATTGATATTAAGATTATGGAGTAGGGAAACTCGAGTGAATTGTCACTAGTTCGAGCCAGAAATTGTCAGTTATTTTAGCTTGATAGTAGTAATAACAAACCTCATTTTGAATCTCAACTATATATTTTCGGGGTCTAAATATTAAAACTCATTCAAATCATAGGTAGCGACAGCGAGCAGCAGGCATCGACGAATGGGCAAATAGCATCGAGTTGTTGATATTATAAATCGAGCCCAAAGAATCCCGCTGACTGGTCGCTGCCTGCTATTCGCTGCCATTAGGCTATAGGCGTTTATAATCTAACTAGTAATTTTAGTAAGATCTTAAGCTTAAGATTCGTGTTCAAATATTATGACCTGGTGGAAATATGAGGAACGATCCGGAAAAAATGGCGGACATCTGGGCCGAACTTCGAACACGGGACCTTTCGATTCTGCGGCGACTGCTTTGACCATTGAGCTACTCCAGGCCACTAGCCACACTCATTCCAAATCGTCCTCACTAACTCCAATTTTCATTTTAGATAATTATTGGCCGTACCAGTATTGGCCGTAATGTTCTGCCTGTACAATTTCATAAACTGAAATTTTATTGGTGTAACACTTCTGTCAGCAAACCCAAAGAACAGAGAAATGGAGGTCGTATACGCTCGAATTTGTGCTAAATTTTCATTTATTTATTTGATTTTGTACTTATAATATTAGTTATCATCATACAAGTCATGCTTATTTTTCAAACTAAATTCGATATTCAATACTTTAATTATTACTTACAAAATAATTGTAGTATATTAGATGAGATAAATTTTTTTAAATAATCTTGAAATCTTACATACATATTTTGTTACACTTCACGCATATTTAAAAGATATTTCAGATGTATAAAAATACATTTGAATGCAAATTACTAATCAATACTTTATTTTACTATAGACTGGTTTAATAAAAAAAATCATTAAATTTTCACTTTAAATGTCACTTCGTAAGGAAGATTATGAGCTCCGGTTTGTGGAACCACATTTTCTGTAACAATATATCCTTTCATCTTGACTGGTTCTTAAACATCAGTTACATGCGAGCTATAAAAAAGTATTTGTTCTATATTACAAATTTTTTGTTAATCATATGCTTATTTTTACGATATTTTCATGAAAGAAGCGGCTAAACATGCGATGTATGTCTTACAAAATATCTTCTTTTTGATAGAATTACTTATCTATTGATCAAGATTAATCACAAAAATTAAATACTGAGGGTTGAAATCCATACTATACAAGAATTGGGATCGTAACCGTTTCATGATATCTGATTATTTACAAATTAAATCCCAGAACTTTTTTTCTGTACCGATCTCATATAAACAAGAATATCTGGGCATCTACCTTACGTCCAATTTTGCTGAGGAAATGAAGTTATGCACGATTGTTCAAGCTACGCAACTAGCGTATATCTCAAGAATAATATTTGTAATATTATGCTTTACAGTGAAGCTGTGTGGGCAAAGTATTTCTTTTATTTGGAGAACCACAAAAGCGCTAGGCATACCTATTTTCTGTGTACTCTCAGGGATAGGTATAATTTAACGACAAGGAACATGTTGAATTGATGAAATCGAAGCCTTCACTAACACATTACGTATTGTGAGCATATATTTTTGAATATCGTTAAGCTTGACGCAAAATCCTGCATACATTGGATTAGTTTTAATTTCAGCCGGTATCAGAGGAAGTTTTTTTAAACAATCAATCGCGGCACATATTGTGTCAAAAATGGTAACATGATGATCCAGTTTGTAGAATTTGATGTAATGAAGATTTCTCGTGATTTTGACAGAATGGGGAGTAACGTAGATCGACTCGATTGGTTATCTATTTTACTAATACCTATATACAGGGAAATCTCTCGAATATGAAGTACCTCTCCATTTTTAGACTGATACACATTTCCACTGCTAACTTTTCCTGGAGCTGAGATCTCCCACCATGCTGCGATTTACAAGGAAGGAAAAAGGATAGAGGATAGAGAGGTATAAAAGCGGAACGTTACAATATATTGTGACGTGATTTTTCGACTCACGGTCACAAGGCGACTCCAGCTACAGATTCACATAATATTCTCGCTTTCTCGTTCCTTTTGAGTCGCCACCCTGTTCAGGAGCTAAGCTTTCAGATCGATTCGTACATTTACGACAATGCCCTCGAAAGATTTTTTATTGTTGAGTTGAGGTCGAGGTGTCCAGATCTGCCGTGGAGAGATAGTCTCGACGTGCCGAATTGTCCAGCAGAGGAGAATATCCGACGGAGACGTCTCCACGGATCGGCAGAGATGATATTGTTTTCTTATAGTTAAGCGCAGGGGAAGATCTCCAAGAGTCACGTACCGATTCGTTAAGGAACACCCTGGCCTTAGTTTAAAGGGACGACTCGAAGGAAGGGATAAGAGTTATCGGCTATAACGATCTCCACCAATCAGAATGATTAGTTCTCGAATTTCACTATTGGCAAAGCATTCTGTCTTGGGACATCGATCGAGGTGCTCGAGCTGGCTCGCGCTTCCGTGCTATTTACTATCTCACAATATCCATGAAATCCTATCAATTTTCTGCGTTTGCTTTAAGGGGGGCGACCCGCTTGAGCACAGATCCAATTGGATAGAAATGACTTTTTACTGTAAGTTCTGACCAGTTTTAAACAAATAGAATAGAATTAAGTACGGACGATATCTTATTATAGATTTTGTGTGTAGTTTTAAACTAGTTTACCCTAGGTTTGTTTAGGTAAGGATAGGATAGGGTGGAATGTTCAAACTTCGGATACTGGGTAGGTTAGTGGTTAAGTATATCGTCGGCGAGCGAGCGAAGCGAGTGAGCCTGAATGAACAGAGCATTAAAATTTTTTAAACGGTTGCGTCAGATAAAGATAGCTTACAATATCGTTGAATTACTGATGGAAGATTGCTTGGAAGGCAAAAATTTCATATTTGTATCCAATTTGGTCTGTGCGCAACTGGACATCACTCGTCTGATCTGATGAGTCCTGTTTATTTATTTATTTTTCGGCCATTACTATTATGTAATGCTCGTAATAGTAAATTTAGAATGCTGATTGCAGTTTTTCCTGAGACCAATTTTTTCTAGAACAAACGTAGTATGGAAAATTTTTATCCAATTATGATGATGTAACATGAATAAGTGATAGCGTTTTTTGTATTCATATTTTTAAAATAGATATAGGTTTGTATAGTTACATACGAGAAGAAGTAGTGAACGAGAAAATTTGAAAATATTTTATGAAATCATCGATCTGTTACCATCTGTGTAAAAGTGACGTAAAAAGAATGTAGTGTATTTCAATAATTAACTTAGCGCCAAATTGAAGCTATTAGTTTTCATGCTCTGAAGGCTAATGCCAACTTTCAAATATTCATGGATAATTAGATTGTAGAAAAGATAAATCTTCGAGTTTCTGTTATAGATGGTGCTAGTTAGAAAAGCGTTTAATAGCGCGCTATAGATTCGGGTTTCATGCGTCACTCGTTTAGTTAGCAGAACTTGGATTTTTTCTGCATGGGGACTCATCTATTACGACATTTTTCTTGTAGATTTGACAAACATCGATTTGAAATTATCTTGTTCGATATATATTGTTTTTTCAAAAATGTATTACGTGTACGTTTCACGATGCATAACTCTATTTTTATGACTGAATAAATTGAATCTATTTCAGTCAGCTCGACTATCTTAACTCGAAAATATACAAATTCAATGAAATAATGTTACTAAATATTAAAGGATAGTATCTCGTCCATGCGCGCTTTTCGAAAAGCGCTGGTTTCTGCAACCTGTGTCCTGTAGAATCTTAGATGGCACAGATTGCAGATGCATACATATGTATGCTTATGTGCATCAGATGAGGATCCAATGGGTACAGTCTAAAAGCAGGTGCCGGCATTATTTCGATATTTGCCAACCGGTATTGACTGGTATGCAAAGTTGGGATGCACGTGAAATCATATAAGGAATTCCGTTGGGGATTTTGTCATAAATCCTGATTGAAATTTGATGGGAAATGGGAGATGCTCTGAATAATTTCCGCATGGGTGGGCACATCTGACGAGTCGATAATCTCCTGTGAAGATGTTCCACGAGACAATATAGGATGAATTATATTTCATCATTAAATATAATTGTTTTATGGAACGACTGTGTTATTTTCCATTCGCAAGACAATTTAGTAATTAAATTTTAATAAATATTTGATTATAATATAATAAAAATATAAATATCTATCTCAACATAGAATATCAAATTGAAGCGTCACATATACATCTAAAACATTCAAAATATGACTTATCTAAATATCGATGTTATCATGATAGATAAAATATTTTTGTAAAGCTAATTTCGAGTATTAATTCAATAAATCTGTTGGTTTTCTCAAATGTATGACATGATTTGAATTTCCTTTTTCTAAATAATGAAACCCAGAGTGAATAATATCATAGCCGTATTAAATATTGTCAAGGGTAAATTGTACTAGTACGAAAACTGTTTTGATCAGATTTTTGTAAAAAATTAAAATTTTAAACATTTATTTCTTTGAAAGTATGCTGTTAATTAAGCTACTGCAGTTAAAATAAATCGTATAATTTCGGGTCATTATAACCATTGCTTAACAGGGTAAGAACATTTTTGTTGATCATTTTAGTTTAATTTTTGAAAAAAATTCACGACTTTGATAACTGTACAATAAATTACTTGTGGAAAAAATTTTTTGCATAATATTCACGCTTTAATGCCATTCGAATTATCCTTAAAATTTGTTGGTATCTTCCCAATAAAAGGACGAGATATTTAGGAATTTGAATTCTACTAGACCATTTTGTATCATGATCATATATTCATATAAGAATGATATATAATTAAAGTACGTACTTCTTTCATTTCAATTCGAATTTGAGAAACATATAGGAAATACATAAGATCTGATTCTACACAAACGTATTATTCCATACTCAAGCGTCCGAATCCGTGCTCATGCAGAATTAATTTTTTCATTAATATATTATGTTATATTAGATATATATATATATATATATATATATATATATATATATATATAAGATTTAAAAAACATACAGAATGTTTCCACATGCGAAATAAGAAAATTCGTAGGAAAGTTTCTTAAAAAATCTTTATACTTTTTATATTTTTCTTTCTTTCAAAAACATTTTAAAGATATGCTTTATTTAAAAAAAAACGATACGTCAATGTAAGATAATTACGTCTCCTATGCCGTTATCTGATAATACATATAAAACTCTTGTTGAGTATAGCATTTGTCTCATTCTTCGTAAACTTTTTTGTTACGTATAATATTTCTTTAATGTGTGTAATTACGTAATTACATTATAATATTTGTCGTCATTTTGATTGCGTGCGTATTTAGTTGCACCTTGTCTAAGCATCGGAATATTCTATATAATATACAAAAGATGATGATTTGTAAATTAAGTTCTCCATCTTACATAAAGTGATAAATATGTAGTTTGCGCTGAGCATGTTGCTAAAGAAAACTATATTAGTATCAGTAATTACGAGGTAATAGAGTTGAAGGCTTGTGTGAAATTTGTGGAACAGCATGGAGCAAACACGATAGTAGAGGATATTATTGATTTTTCCGTAACGTGGAGCTACCACTTGTGCCTAGATATATGCATGGGCATCGATAGAGTCACAGCGCAAAAGCGACAACATCCCGAAAGTAAAGGATATAACGGGAACTGTGCTGAAACGAGCATCCAACTCATAAAATGATGATAATTTATGTGATGCTATATGAGACTCACATTTGAAATAAGCAGCCATGCCCCCCGCGATTGCCAGCAAAGCTACCGCATTTACAAGGACCTGTGCGAATCTGAAACGAAGCCTCCCTCTTGTCACGTAATGACTGCTTGGTCTTCTTATATCTCTTATGATCTGTGAAGAAATATTCAAAATGAAAATACAGCCTGTGAACCTTACAAAAAATCTTCTTACTCATTTTAATGAAAACAGAAAATCTTTTTTTTTTATCTTAACGCAGCGAGAACATTATGAAGCTGGAATTTATTTTCAACCACTCAAAATGGTAGAGATAGAAGAATGAAATACTATTTCTGTTAGGAGTCGAAACAATTAGCGTTATTAAATTCAACACTAGTAGATATGTCTGTTAAAATAACAGTTAGTATAATGAGAAAACGGGTACATGTATTTTATAAGTTTCATTTAACAGTTTTTTAGTCTAGACGAGAAATAGTATTCGATATAGTATCGCTATTATTAATTAAGCAGTATTAAAATATTGAGGGTTTCTGAGACTCAATCATCAAACAATTTTCATGGTAGAGATGCGAGGTATCGTATACATATACATAGAGTTCACAAAAGGTAAAAGCAAGGTTTTATTCAAAAACAGAATCTCACCTTATGATGCAAAGACATATTGCTACCGCTGTGAAATCTTACGATGGTTTGTAGACTCGCTGGTGTACTAATGGACTTAGTAATCGGGCTCCCAGGAGGATTTTCAGTTTCTGGCGCTAATGCTCTATCTGCGACATAACAGACGATTTTGATGAGAAAGTAATAATTATAATCGTTATTAAATTGTACAAATTGTCTTGAACTGCACAGATTTATCTTCCTTATATTAATGTTTTCGTTGTAAATTCAAATTATCAGTTAAGCCTTTAATTTTGTTGGTGCATTTTGACTTGCAGATGAGAATTTGTTTAGAAAAGAAAGCAGTATGAAATGATAAAAGGTGTAGTTGAATATAAGTTGTGAAAATTAACATACCTGGGACCTTGCCATTGGATTGTTTGTGAGGTAGCAATGGAGCTTCCATGGTTTTACTGGTATAACTTGGCGAGCTCGTTTGGCTAAAGCTGTCAGATGATACATTACTGTCTTGTCTCACACTCATCGGTTTTGGGACAGGACTCTGACAAATGCTGCTCAGAGGTGGCGGCATATTTGTTTGCGTTGCTTTTGGTAACTTTTCTAATTTTTCATTACCGATCCTCTCTTTTTTGAGATTACTCTGGAGTATATTTCGAGCTCTTTCCATATCTATGTCATATTTGATACGTTGTTGGGACAATTCGTTAACATTCAACATTTTTTCATGAAGTCGCTTCTCAAGATCACGCGAAGTATTCTGAAGTTCATCAAATTTCAATCTCTCATGGAAACGGCTTTCAATATCCTGAATCCTTGCATTCTGCAACTCCTCTAACTTTATCTCCGTGTTCTGGAAAGTATTCCCATGCAATTGCCTCTCGAAATCGGATGCGGCAAATTGCAGCTCATCAGCCTGCAACTGCTCATGAAGCCTCGTACTGGAAACATATTCGAATGTTAGTTTAAGCAGAATTCTGCCAAAATGAAATATATGATTACACGGTCAAGAATGTGTGATTTCAGTTTTAAAATTAATGATTGTGTTTGGATAAAATTCGAAACTTGTCAGAGTACTTGGGATTCAAGCGTTTTTAGTGAGCAACTTAAGGGAATACGACACATCCGATCGAAGTCTTTCGTAGCATAAATAATGTAAAAGTTATTCAGAAACTTGGAGAAGATAGTTAAAATTTCTTGATCGAATGCATGAAAACTAATAAACTGTTTAAAGAAAATGTTACTTTATTTAGCTAATGAATGTTAAAAAAAAGAACGAGAAACTGATGGCGTGTTCCGATATAAGCTTTCAGTACTAGCAGCACTGTGCCTTCGTTCCGTTATAGGCTTGTACAGCACTGTAGCAGTGCTTAGTAACTTTGATGACATCATAGGTTTATCAAATTTTTTTACTGCGAGCGTCTGACCATAGGAGGGTTAGGCGCTCACTGTAATATGGGAAATCACATCCGCTTCCGGTGAAATTAGCGGGAAAGAATAGGAAAACGAACAGAGGAATATGGATACTGAACAATACTGAAATGGATACTGCGAATAGTGAAATCGTGTTAATTGATGCAGAGACAAATGTACCTTACATCATAAATATATCTCCCGCATCGATCGAAAAAGCAAAAAATGGTAAGTGAACAAATTTTTTAACCGAAATGAAATTACTCGAAGTAAAATTGATGACATTGATAACCTACGTTATAAAATTATTATTTTCAGATTTTTCTCGGAGAAATGTAAGTATAACACTATTTCATAATAATACCTTTTTATTCCGTATATCTACTCTACTAGAGTGCTTAATGCTTTCGACGCTGTGTGGCGCCACTGTTATTAATATACTGCAGATACTTTCCGTATTTCGTTATACAATTTGACCAATGCAACTGATAAAAACGGAACGGTCACACAGTATACAGTAATGACGTCATTTACACAGTACTGAAAGCTTATATCGGAACACGGTGAATAACTTAAATCCGAACTACGCCTAATTGCGCAGTAGAAAGTGCCGCCTCTTTATTTTTATCAGAGGTTCAAAAAAACCTTTCGACGCATAACTCCCATTTGATGCAGAATTGAAGGGCTAAAAATAAATTTTTAATTTTGAAAACTAACGTACCTTTCATTATGCAATGTATGCCTTTGCTCCTTAACGTCTCCCGTAGTTTCAAGGTCTCCAAATTTAACTCCCACGCTTCTAACAACTCTTTCGTGAAGTCTTTTCTCCAGGTCTCGTGACACCCTTTGCAATTCCGCGAAACTCGATCTATCAAAATCTTTTCCGTAGATAGCACACTTCTTATCGAAGCTCATGAAACAATCCTTACTGTTGGTCTTCCTAGAGAATTCAACATCAATGAGCTTCTTACTATCGAGTGCACCATAATGCCAAGAAGCTGGTGGAATTTTCGGTGGTGTCCCTCGAGACTCTTTCTGTATTATTGATTGATCGTAACTTTGTTTCTGATTCTTTGAATCACGTGGTTGCACGGTGGTTTTCGATATCGGAATTGGTCGCTCGTTCTTACTTCGTTTAGGGATGGTCGGTGGACGTAGTGGTATTGGCGGTGGCGCCACCTGCATGCAATATATTCCTGTTTCTCAAAAAAATTTTTTTACAATTTAGAAGGAAGTTTTCAATTAGTGAAAATTAAAGTCCTTTCATTGTCGCATATATTCAATTCTTTGTTAATGCTGATGTGACTTTGTGTATAGCGTTTTTAATTAATTTATCACTCAATACTATTACAATACTCAAAACAATAATATTACAAGTGGTGATGAACAGCATCAACAGCATTCATGACGATTATGATGTAATTCTTTGCATTTGAAAATACCGTCTCAGTTTTAAACTAATGATAATAAAATAGCGAAGGATTGTGTATATTTTTTGGTATTCATTTTAATGTGTAATTTTATAAGTACTGAAAGCAACTTTGCTTAGAACGAAATAGCATCATATGTAAAAGTAATAATATTTTTTTTAACCAAGGCAGACAGTTTTCACACGCATTTGGTAAATAGAATTAGGGTTTCATATTCGGTAGATTGATTTACAATATATACTAAACTACAGTAATCCCAAAAATTGGTAGAGATTCATGCCAAATAGGTGGCAAGAAACAGCCGGGATAAAAACTATTGACAATGGTAAGGTGGGACGAATTGAAGATATAGACCTAGGAAACTGCAGCGATTTCTGTCTGGATTCTGATAAATTCCTAGATGATTCCCATGGATTTCCATATGAGTTTTGATAAAATTTCAAGCTGCTTTCCATGGATTCCCAGATGAATTTTCACATGTTCCTCCATACATGATTTTCGCACTGAAATGGGTCTAACTGTGAATAATCCTATATAACCTAACGAGAGAGAGGGTCTTATAGGGGACCGTCACTGGTAGTGAGGGAGACGCTCTTACATAAGACTTCTCCGATACTTGACAAAAATGGCGTCCCGAACCAGGAGAAAAGACTACCTCCTCTATACTCGGATCTGGCTTGCCTCTCGACTGCTGGCCACGCCATTCTCGTTTCGCCACTCTTGTCCTAACTTCTCCCTGGGACATCATTAATTCCGCTCAGTGTACAACCGAGAAGGAGGTGATTCCTTATAGAAAAGTAAACTCAAATTGCAGAATAAATTTTTCCTTTACGCAATTTCATTTTTAAGAAATTCGACTTTAAAAATCCATCAGGTACACGTGCATTTGACTAATACTCGACTTAAGGGTCTCGATAGGGAGACTGTTTTCTTTCACATTTGTATACAATGTTATGATTTAAGGTGGTTTAAAATATTTTAAACAATATTTCAATCTTGAAAATAATGTATTTTATTAATTTACGTATTGTTGAAAATGCCAATCTAGTTTTTGCATACAAAATTGTGCTCGTCGAATCAGAGAGTTATGAACAATTCTTCGCGTGGCCTTAAACCACCTTAAGTCCTGACATTGTATACAAATATGAAAGAAAATATTGCCTAGAGATTTCTTAAGGCACATGTCCACTTTACAATTTTCGAAAAATCGATTTTTTTTACTTATTTCTCTTCTAAATTATCTCCAAATTGTGTGCGTAAAGTTTCAAGGTTGAATTCGAAACCAATAAAGAGTTATATTTTTTAAGAAGGATAGTTTTCAGGACTTTTTGTCTTGAGTATTGGCAGTTATGAGAACACTTGGTGTTTGTCAGGACGGGCCTGATAGCATTTAGATACGTAAGGTATACTGTCAGGACCATAAAGTGGCACTCACACCGAATTTCCCGAAAAAATGTTCATGCTACACACTCGCAGTTGTGATGGGCTAAGAAATGATTTCGTTAAGCTAGATTAGGTTAGAATTTTAATACGACATGTCTCAAGGTTTAGTTTTTTTTAGAAAAAAACATATGGGCTTGTTATTGTGAGTGGCACGTGTCCTCATAACTACCCTTTGACAAGTTTATATATATATGTATATATAACGGTTATATTATATATTCCCTTCTGTTAAAATACCGGCTTTTTTCTATACTAATAATACTTTCGGATTACGTGTACGTCCTCAGTACAGTTTGTGTTATCTTTGAAAACATTTGCGCATTGATTTCATCAAAATAGGTTATAATAAAGGTCCTAAAAAAACAAAACAACGAAAAAGAACAAGCGTCAAAACTTCGCATGAATTCCATGGCAATCAGTAAACATGTTTTTCTCGAAATGCGATTGTTTTAAATGGCCGACAGATTATCTCCGGTTCCACTTCTCCGCTTTTAGTAAAGTTTGCTGCGTTTTGTTCGTTGTTATGTTGACTATCGAAATCTACCATATTTTTTCCTAAAAAAACTTTTTACACAAATTTTGCGAGCAAAATTAGCCCAAAAAAAGAGCTTTTTTCAAACGTTCATAAAAATTTTTTTCTCGATTTTGAAATAATTGTGGTAAATTCCAGTGTGAGAAGACTTGATCTTTAAGATGCCGTTTGATTTTTTCATTTGTGACTTGCCAGTTCAGAGATAAACTGTCGGCCATGCAACGCTCTCTTTTTTTAGGACTCAATTTTGGCGCCCTCTACAATTTGGACAAAAAATAAAAATTGAAAAAAAATTCTCTATTTTTTAAAAGATTAAATAATATTTAACAAAAAAATTTGTATCATTATCTATAATACATATAAAGGTTCAGAAAAAAAAAATGTTGAAAATTAACGTTTTTCTTCCGTTTCTAAATTGGACATATACCTTAAGCCCAGTATTAGTCAAGTGCACGTGTATCAGACGGATTTTTAAAGTCGATTTTATTAAAAGTGAAGTTTTGTAAGACGCTGAAACTGGATCAATGTCGCCTCCACTTCTTTAAATAGAGTGATATGATTTTTGTTTTACAATAACAATACTCATGTTAAGCTGAGTTTAATGACTTCCGATCAAAGGTAATCAAGGTTACACAAGGTTAAAAACGATAAAATCTAAAAAATGAATGAAATAAGAAATTTTCTTTATTTATTACATTTGTTTTAATTTTAGATCACGGTTTTCAGTGACATTGGATACTATAACAAGACGGCTTACTTGAGAAGATGCTCAAAATGGTGGCCTTAAACTTGCAAACATTTGTTGACTCTTTTATGAAAAGTTCGTCGAACTACAGTCAACATTTCTAGTGTTATTTGAGCAAATGCTCGACATATTCTTTCCTTTATGTCTTCAGGTGTAGCATGAACAACCGCTATCACACGCTCTTTTGTAAACCCCCACAAGAAGTAATCAAATGACGTTAAATCAGGTGACTAGGGTGGCCGGGTTATTGTATTTCCTCGTCCTATCCATTTTTCGTTGAAAATTGTGTTCATCATTTGTGTTAAATACAGTGCACCTTGGGGTGCGAAAGTTCATGTATGCAGGCGGAAAAGGAACAACAGTAATTGATAATGTGTTCTTGTATTATACGTTCATGCTAGACGTGAAAAGAGTGTTATATCTTCAAGGTTATCTCTAAGTGTCGAGACGTGAGGACTTCACGCTTACCAGCGTCCATCGTCAAGGGTTCTATTCCTTATCTCAATATTAAGAAGCTCTTGAGGGAGCACAAAGGAGATAGGAACCTTTGGGTTCTTATACGACGCTTTACTTCCAAAAGTCGTGAGGAACATTGCCATATATTTGCATTTGACTTATAAAGTCATGCCAATGCCAAAATGCTTACGCGTTAACTCTGACTATTCACCGTCCTGAAAGACAAAAGTGAATACAGGAAAGAATCGAGGGTTCGAAGTGAATTGAACATATACTCAACAAAGAGACTTCAACTTGACCGGGGCAAGTGCTCCTTAAGCAGTATTAGATAATTATTAATCGATTGCATTGGAAATAGAAAAAGTGCTCATCAAACATTATCAAATAATCGTTAATCGATTATATCGGAAATGGAGCAACAGTTCGACAGTATGTATTATAATAAGTAACGGTTTCTCTACACTTGGAGTTATAATCTATATAGCACCTTACCCACAATAGAGCTAATTAATGAAAGAACGTAATATAAAGCAGAAGACTTTACAGTAGTAGCTGGAATAAAATATGACCATCTGCCGCCACAGGTAGACCCAAATATCAAGCAGCCGATGAACAAAGAAGAAGTAAGAGTTAAGTAAAAGTAAGTTCAGAAAGAATCATTAATATGGAGTAACGAAAGTATTGAGAAAATCAAGAAGAAAGCAAGAGCAATGAAGTATACAAAAATAGAACAAAGAAGAATATAGCACGGACTGAGGGACAACGTAATAATGTCGTTAAAGAAGAAGTAGGAGAATTTGAAAAACAGAAAGAAATGATGGGATAAAGAATGCAAGAAAGAGCAAAGAGAGGTGAAGGAAGCTTTTCAAAGAAGAGAAATCTTTTGAAAAATTTGAGTAGGCAAAAGGGAAAGAGAAGAACAAGAGGAAGAAGAAAGAGATATCCAAAACATAAAGTCAGAGCAGAAAACATGGAAATGTATCGATGAAGATAGGAAGAAGAGAGCAATTACAAGGGAAAATATAACATTGTACGAAGGGCAAACACATTTTAGGTTATTGTTACATAGAGACAAGAAGGAGAAATGGACGTAGAAAGAGAGAAGAATAAAAACAAAAGAGAAGGTATAATTCAAAGAAGAAGAGACTCAGGATGTGTCAGCAAACGACAAGGAAGCAGAACTTACGAATAAAGAGATTGAAAGGCAAATAAAATAATTAAAGAAGACGAAAGCTCTACGAGCAGGTGAAATCCAAAACGAAGCGTGGATATATGCAAAGAGAAATACAAGGAACAAGCTAAAAGAATATTTATGAAGAATCTGGAGTTGAGAAGGTCTTCCAGAGGAGTGGAGAGAAGTAGTAATACCACCGTTACATAAAAAAATAGATATTTAGGATATGAAGAATTACATAGGAATAACCTTACTTTATATAGGTTGTGACGTTGTGAATACACCAGTCGCGGTTCTCGGCGAGTATGTGTTCGGAGAACACATATGTAACAGAGAACAAAGTCAAAAGTGTAGTCGCATGCAATTCATACTAAAGGACATTGAATTGATAGAGCCTTC